TTGGAATTTTAGAATGCCACCCAGACTCACCTTTTGGAAAGAACAAAAGATAAGACAATGGATCGTAACAACCGAGGTGAGATTGAATTTCTTGGCTATAGTCAGACCTCTCGTATACAACAATACTTCTCTTATATGCAGTGATGTTGTGATTGCCTTCAACCCAAATACCAGCAACCTAAAGAATGTGATTATTTAATATAGTCTATACTATGTATCACATGTGTTTATAAGAGAAAAAAGAAAAGGTTTTTTATTCAAACCTCAGATGTAGTCGGTCGGTTGTATACCCTCTAGTCAAGTTCCACCGATGCATTCAAAGTGACTCTATAATTGTCGAGTGGTCCTAATTATACAAGTCTTCAAAATATGCTCACGTATGGATTCGTAGAAAGAACACGCGTCAAAATGTCAATGATACTTCTATCAAGAATGGGCTATTGGAGTTTATGTGAAAACTCAGACTCAACATCATAAAAATATAACTGTAAATACCTAGGTCATCTATCCCTTAGAACTAACTGATCAATTTTATGATATACTCCTCCATATGCACGAAAAGTATATACATCGGATGTCATATTATTCATTGTCTCATTCAAAGTTACACCCATCGATGTGAAAGAAAAGTTCGTGTTGTATGCACGTATGTTGTGCCTAAACATTTTGCTCAATTCAGATTATGATGTGAAGAGATTGTATAATTCTTCGGGAATGAGAGAGTATGCTAACTTTGTCTTCCCACTCATGCAGCAAAAGGAAGGGAATTCAAACTTGAATCGTTTTGCTCCGCAATGAGTACATGCAGGTTGTTCATTCAAAAGGCGATGTTCCTTATGTATACGCTTGTAAATATAATCGTATGGATCTTCCTCAAAGGTGTCATTTCGGTTTGATGAGTTGACAATGACCTCAGTAGAGGTTTCTACATCTACAACATTTGAATGTAAAAATATGGTTAACATTTAAGAACTAAACCTATGTAAAAATATAGTCATCATTAAAGAACTATATCTATGAATACAAGAATGTAAAAAATAAATTAAATGATAATTTACAAAACTATAAATGTTCTGTTGAAAATAAATAAATTGCATCATATATGAAGCGACGATAATAAAAATTGATGCTTGAATATACATAATAAAGATATGGATTTTGCCTGTAATATCCATAACTTCATTGTTCTCTATGGTAGTTGTCATTGTTTCAATGCTTGTATGTGGGTTACCACTTGTTGCTGTTATGTTTTTTTCCTTACATCGAAGATAATGATTTCTATTATAAGTTCTCCTTCTTTCAGCAAGGACTACTACACTAACTGGTTTTGTATTCGTTGCAGCTAAATTGGTGATAGGTGTTGCACTAACTGGTATGGTGTCTGTTGCATTGAAATTGGTGACATGTGATTGACTATTTCTCTCAGCAAGAACTATTGCACTAACTGGTGTTGTATCCGCTGCAGGTAAATTGGTGACAAGTGTTGCACTAACTAGTATGGTGTCCGTTGCAGTGAAATTGGTGACATGTGTTGTAGATTGACTACTTCCTTCGTCGAGTGCTAATTTTCGCCTTTTGTTAATATCCTTATGTCGTGTATAATAGTCTCGATTGTATTGTTTTCGTTTTTCTGTAAGAATATGATTTTCCGTGAAATGTATATTATAAATGTGTATATATCATAAAGACATAAATAATATAAAGGCAATTCCATTTCTATATACTACACTTACCTTTCTTCAAATCTAGATCAACTTGTATAACAACACCATTGTCACCTTCATCGTCTACATCCTCATTAACAATCCTCATTTTACACTGTAAAAATACATAAAATGAATAAAATATAATTTCTCGTTTATCATTATTCGTTTGTTTGGATGTTAAAAAAATTATCATTATCATCATTAAATGTAATCACACCAAATACCAAATATCATCACCAAATGTAAACACACCAAATACTATAAAGATCATTACCAAAAGTTTATAACTAAATGTTATCATAACAAAAAACGAATAAAACATGATAATAGTCTTGATTATCCACATATTTTTACATTTGATGATAGCAATCTAATGTTATCCGTTTATGCCATTTGTGGTTCAAACTCAATCTTGGTTAATTCTGTAGAACTCAAAATATTCACTGAAAATTATATAAATAATATAAATTATTAGATTCATTAATTTTAAATAACGGTGCACAAAAAAGATTATATAGAAATTAACTTATAACGTACTTGACTTCTTATGGATAAGTTTAAGTCGAGATGCATATATTATAGATTTATCTTTGATTGCACGAGCGATCCTTACAGGACGTGTACGTGGAGTRTCAATCAAATTCATCTTTATTATATACCCTCTGTTCATAAAATGAACGCATTTAAAATTTGTAATAATAAGTTAACTACATAAGTATAGATACGTATGTGGTTGTGTATGTGTGTGTGTGTTGTTTAGAAAAATTTATATACTTACGTTGCATCTTGTAGAAAAATTTTACATGAACCAAATCGAAATATATGTTTATGACGTACATATGTTACTCGTCCTCCCGCGATGATTTTCCCAACAATACATGAACAATATTATTCATATGCTTAAAAAAATAAACAAAAAATATGGTTTAAAAAAATATAAAATAAAATTTGTAATTTTAATTGATAGTTTAGATGTACCAATAAGTATTTTCTTAGTGGTTTTATCCTCCGCAACAATTTTAGTTGACGGCACCAATGGATAGAATGCAAATCCACTTGCAATATCACTTGCTAATGGAGTAAGCTTTGTATTCTTGCTGATAAGAATCATCCATCCATCGTGGACGAAATTGTATCGTTGGTATGACAGACAGTCACAATACATTTGTTCAACTTCAAAATGATCCAAAGCAAATACACCACCCACCAAACTCATTTTTCTGTATGACTCCAATAAACGGCGTGAGATAGTTGTTACCATTTTGTCTCTCTATTATATAAAATATTTTTAATCAAATATAAGTTGCAAATCATAATTTATACAACTTGATATAAGATTGAATATGATTGACTTACATTTTTATGAAGTAAAATCAAAATTAATCTATTATCTTCGATGTCATTCCAAATGAACTCTACTCTGACAGTTGTCAAATTCCACCACACATGATGCTGATTGAGTGATGAAAATACTTCAACACAGCAATGAGAGTCCATTTTCTACATAAATATTTAACTTTATTTATATTTAATTAATCATATTTTACTAATAAAATACATATTAAAAGAATAAAGAGTACATCCGGATACAACAATAATTAAAAGAATAAGAAATTATTTTTACATATTAAAAATGTAAAATCAAATATGGTTAGAAATGTCATACAAATAATATATCACATTATGGATACGAAGTCACATGTCTTTGTACATACCTTGTCAATTGAAAGAGAACAAACCACACCGTGAAAGTAAGGTATTGACGATGATACACCTTTTTTTTGTTTCAAGAAAATTAAAAATATACCTTGTTTAACATGCCGACGAAAACCACAGGGAAGTAGCTAAAGCAAGTGTCGAGCAGAGCACTAGAGATTGGTCACTTCCTTTGGTCCTAGTGAATAAAACAATGCCTCTTTCTTGCTATAAAATTTAATTATTTGAGGTAGATAATTAATTATCTTGTAAACTAAATAGTTTTGTGATGCATATTACAAGTGGATCAAACACAATGTATATTCAAGTTCAAGTGTAAAAAGCCTGAAGCTGTAATGCATTTGGACTTGGCCTTGGCTATCTTGTAGAGTAAAGGATATCATTTGTCAGCCGCCAATTAATAATGCACAATTAATTTCCACTCAAATCCTACATGATACTGTTGTACCATGTGATGGCTTGCGAAGTGGATGCTTACTATCTCTTTTATTTTATTTTTCCCACTTCCGTATATATTTATTTTCGTCATTTCAACCTTTTATTTTATGATGCCAAGTTTGGAAAACAAAATAAACTGAATATTTATTTTTTTGCCACCTGTTAAAATGTTAATGTGTTCTCAGATGTTCTGAGTATGAAGTTCCCCTTAATTATTTAGGCAACAGTTGTTTCTTTGAGATATAAGTTGGGTTGTGTTGTGACATGAAAGCAAACTGCTATAACAAACGTTTAGACCTCATGAGTCATATCCAGATTACTTCCAGGTTCTATTAGGAGAAGGTTACTATGCTGAGAGAACATCTAATCTAAACAAACCATCGAGATTCTGAAAAAGAAAGAGCACAGGATCTGGAGTCACAGATTGAAACCCTTAATGCCGTAATCAAGGATCTCAACTTTGAAGCCTCCTTTTTTGATGACACAGCTATTGAGGCCGCAACAAGTCCCTTCTCTCTACAAAAATGTCAGCTAGATTCACCTTCTGACACTACCATTGCTTGAAAGATGAATCAAATACATGAAGGGCATGCATATATATATATATATATATATATATATATATATATATATATAAGTTTGTCAAAGACATTTTTAAAGAATTAATGAGGTTAGAAAGACGGCAGAGTGAAATTCTACACTGCTGCAAACTCCCTTTCTTCAACTGTGAACTTGAACTAAATACAACACCTCACATATATTAAAAGGGTAGTACTTAGTAGCTTTGCATCACGAATTGGTTTCAATTTGTCCAACATATAACAGCAGGTTTTTGGCCAAGAGCAACGGTAGGAACAAGAATGATTGTTGATTAACTGTTTGCATTCTCTAATGTATCCATATACATACAAAGCTCCTGTCCAAAAACTAAACTTAAAGGAAGGTGTAGTCTTAGAAGTAGACTGTTCTCTAGTATATATTTTTATTCATATAAAAAATGGCATCAATCATAAGGAAACAGGCTACATGTGGCAGCCACAACCTTGTTTATGTGAACTAACCTTAAACTTGGATCTGGTACCATAAGTTTGAACCAGCAGGCAGCCACAACAGTTCATAGCATGCATTTGAATGGTTATGGCCTTATGTGAAACATTACATCACTATGTACTTAAGCAGGGAATGGTTATGGAGTTATGTGAAACATTAGATCACTGTCACAAATAAGCTGACTCATATCTTAATTTAGAGATCTTAATTAGTAGAGAAAGTGACCAGGATTAGTATGTATCAGATCGTTTATAAAGTGCATATAATATATATGTTATAAATTATAAATTGATGTATATGTTTCCTTGTTAATAGCTTTAAGTTAAATATGAACCATTGATGGACCTGAAACCTTACTATATTTACTTACATCTGGTTTTTTGGATGGAAAACAGGTTGCAGCTTTCAACGGTAAACTTTATCATGGCTGTGTGTCAAAGGCAGGAAGTGAATAGAGTTAGATGTGAAGAACTTTATCATGGCTGTTGTTCACTTTTTGTTTTAGTTTTGGTTTTTTGGTTTGTATAGTAGTGCAGTTCATCTTAACCCTGGGGCCTGTCCTGATGGTTGAGTGGACATGCTTGTTGGTGGGAGTCCCACCTTAGGTTGTAAACATTCTGTTATTTTAATAAAAATTTCAATTTTATCCAAGTGGTTTAAGTCATGAATGTAAATATGTTCTGTTTTCCATATTCATATTCAACTCAAAGATTTATTCATGTTTGCAGACATAAGGTTAAAGAAAGGTTGGTTCATATGGAGTCAACCTATTAATCGTTGGATATGAAGATTTTGTTTAGTTTTGGTTCTAATTTTCAGATAAGATGTCATTACTATGCAGATGGAGTTCGAGTCAGTTAAGCAATTGAATATGTGGTTATTTGAAATTGCATTATCTGAATAATCGCTTCCTTCAACTTCAACTGTGGGTCGAAATCAACCACCAATAGTAGCAAACCAGCAAGTTCTTGAACTGCAAACAAAGTCAACAGAATCTCATATAAATAAAAACTTTTCTAACAAAAATCATTCAAAGACAAAACATGAATGACATTCATCTAAACAGATTCATGACGACCCTTAGAACCTTAAAATCTTCAATCGGATGAAAAATGGTAAATGCTACATCAATGTACCAACCCATATAAATAAAAAAGATCAAATACGAAACTTCGTACCTTAACAGAATCGAAATCTCTTTTCATCCGACTCCAGATCTCTTTAGAAAAGCTTATTATTTTAAGTTATATTTCTTATTTATTTTTCCTGCTAATTCTCTCATATTAAACAGGTGATCCCTGGTGGTTACAATGTATATGTAACAGGCCTCTCTGTTTTCAACAAGTGTCATCTTAAACTCACATGATGACACCCTCCACATCCTCAAAGATTACTTACAGACCTAAAGGAGGTTTCCTTAACCATGATGCTTATGCTGTCCAATTATATTGATAGAGCAATGCAGCCACTTCAAACATCAAAACCTTATATGTACAAATACATATGCACACACACATCAAGATGAATACAACATATTCTGCTTCTGTTTTTGTTTCTGTGTGTGTGCATAACTCAATCATGATGGTAATACAACAGTGCATACATGATGGTAATACAGCAGGCACATGGGGGATGGGTTCAAATGAAATCTCAAGTAAAGGGCTGTTTGGTTGTTATTTTCTGCACAAGTAAAGGGTTGTTTGTCACATATATTTGTATACACATATAGATTTGTAGAATTTTGGGTAAAAGGTGCACAAATAGTTGAAACATCAAAACCTTATATGTACAAATACATATGCACACACACATCATGGCTGAATATATATATATATATATATATATATATATATACACACACACACACAAACATATGTAACAGGGCTGTTTGGTTGTTAATTTCTGCACAAGTAAAGCTTCAAGTTACCTACAACCACTAAACAAGTTGGAATGATGGAAAATAGCATGTCAAACATGATTTTCACATAATTGTTCCATAAAACAGCAATGCTAAAACAAAAGCAGGTCCTGTTAAGTAGAAACAAGACATATAAAGGTTTGTTTGTTAAATACCTGGGGTGCAGAGGAATTGCTAGAAGAACCTCTAACGATGACAAGTAAGATGAAATGGATGAACGATTTAGCTACAAAAACAATACAAGAGCCTGAGTTACTTAAGAGGGTTTAGTTGTGAAATACTTGCTGTCTAAACAGACAACCAATTGTAGGACACACATTTTACTCGAACTCAAAAAGTAACTGCTAGCACAACAATTGATAGCAGCCTGCTGTGATACCACTTCATTAGACCCTGTATAGTGTAATTGCTATGCTAATTGTCATAAGGATGCTATGCTAATTGTCATTAAGGTTAATATATTAAGAACCATCTGGATGAGGAAAGTTCATGGCAGCATATAACAGCAGCTTTTAGACAGCAGGCAGCAGGAGACTTGAATAAAGTCTGCCTTTTTAAGCTAACAGCCATATGCTAAAGTCTCAAGACTCTTGAAATCGTTTTTCTCAACTCTTGTATGGACTACATGTTCTTCATTTGATTAATCCTCTTTAGAAAAGCTTATTATTTTAAGTTATATTTCTTATTTATTTTTCCTGCTAATGCTCTCCTATTAAACAATAGGTTGAAGCCTTGAAGGTTATTGACAGTACACTTTGTAAACTAAACCATCTCCCAAAAAATCATATTTAGTGTATGTAGACTTAGGTGCCATTTACCAAACGCTTACCCGGGTAAGCGCTTACCAAGTCATTTACTTTACCGGATGAATATGACAAGGACTAAAAATCTTACCCGGTAAGAGCAAAGGCAAGAATCGAGTCTTACCCGTTAAGTGAGGACGAGGACTCTTACCATGTGTAGCGCTTACCGGGATAAATTGTTGCATAGGATGCGTTCTAGTGAATAAAATATTAATTACTCTATAAGTACGCGATAAATGTTGAATTTTACCGGGTAAGTGTTTAGGTAAACGGCCCCTTGGTTGTTTTCAAGGCATTTAGATTAAAATAGTATGAGCATTGAAAACCTGCCATGAAGAAAATGAAATCCTTAGATGAAGACAGATGAAACAATAAGTTGATGAATATTCAACCATTTGAATAAATGATGAAATGGACAATGAATATTCAACCATTTGAATAAATGATGAAATGGACAANATGAATATTCAACCATTTGAATAAATGATGAAATGGACAATGAATATTCAACCATTTGAATAAATGATGAAATGGACAAATTTCCAGTAGAAGAATATAGCATTACTTTGAGTTTTTTTTTTCCTACATCATTATGACTTGTTACATATTTACACTGCATATTTTTACGTTTATCAATATTTGAGATTTCAAATCTACCACAAAACTATTGAAATAGAAGGTTTGGAATTGAAGTGATGGCTTCAAATTTCAGACTGATTTTGCTAAACTTAACAAAGTAAACAGGACGTAAATGCTTTAGCATGATTGAATGAATGTAGGAAAAATTTCTTGTTATCCTTGGAAATGTGGCTGTCAGGCAATTTGGTTATGCACGATACACTATCCTAACAATAACAACAAAACCAAAAAGAGTCGATAATCAAGGCCTAGTGAGCTCCATCCTGAGAGCAAGCTTCAAGCTCTTCGACATCCTTGAATTACCTTATTATTCGTTACATCAGCAGTTATGTGTCATCGCTTTATTCATCAATCAACTTATGATGTACTAAATTTACTACCTTTCACCTTGCAACTAATAAATATGAAATAAAGATTCACAATATAGATAGTCATAGAAACTTTTACATTCACAAGCTATAATATAGAGTTGCTTTTGTAAGAACTCAAACAGAAAGACTATATATAATATGAATCACGTGATTACATTAGCAGTTATCACATAATTAACCTGCATTTATCAATTTCATTATGTAGGATTTCAAGCAGGAACAACAACCTGGCTTTATGTTTATGTAGGATTTCAAGCAGGAACAACAACCTGGCTTTATGTTTATGTAGGAGTTCCGAAACTTAATTAAGAGTCACTCGTATGATATTTTCCTCATTGGAAAGTGTGGTTTACGGATCAGGATTCAGGAAGTAATTCTAAGGAGAAAAACATTTACAATGAACAAGAAAGTGAACATTGTGCCTGTGAACAAGAAAGAGTATATGTCACATTTTATGATCGAGTACACATAATTTCATAACTTGGATAACAAATGCAAAGATTGATCACTTGTACTTTCAAAACGTAAAACTGATATACCAAATTTCATCACCAAATTCTTTTTTGTGTACTTGTTAAATGGGCAATGTGAATATCAAACTTTAGATCTGAAATGCTAACAAATCCAAAGATTGATCACTTGACAGAAAAGACATTCCCATAAACAGAAGGTTCAAATTGAAATATTATAATTCAAGAAATACATACTAACACCAGTTCCCTTGTCTAACACCATATTTGAAGGAATAACCACCTGAAATGGAATTGCATCTAAAGTCATACCTTTGGCGCTATTGGCTTTTCAGGTGAGCTCCAACCGCCTAAATCGTCCGAGTTACTCTTAGACCTGTTGTACCAACCAAAAAGAGTATATAGTATTCAACAAAATCTAAAACAAGCGCACATACAAGACGATTGATTATAAAACTCACACTTCAAATAAACACCACCTGAAATGGAATTGCATCTAAAGTCGTACATTTGGGCTATTGGCTTTCCAGGTGAGCTGCAGCCGACTAAATAGTCTGAGTTACTCTTAGACCTGCTATACCAACCAAAAAGAGTATATAGTATTCCACAAAATCTAAAACAAGTGCACATACAAGCCGATTGATTATAAAACTCACACTTCAAATAAACCTAGCATTATAAAATCAGGAAAACCCTTATAAGACCAAAGATTTGTACAATGTGCATAAATATGTAATGCGTTTGGGTTTTGCAGGACTAACTGTGGGTCTTAAAATGACTGTACAATGAAGTTTCTTCTTTGTATGTAGGTGGGGAATGTATACGCACAGTTTCTTTAGCCTTTAACATTGTTTCTTATGTACAATTTTAACCTTTTAAGGTTGGACGGATGATTCTTCTAGTAACTTAATCAATCTAAAGTGCATTACTATGGTTAAATGTCAATTAATTAAAATGTACAACATACACACATAACCAAAATCCAATTAAAGACATTTATGAACAGCACTAACAGGAAACCATCTTCTGAACACACAACCATATTTCTAAGTGACATTTGAGAAGTTGAAAATCTTTGTGGCTAACAATGCGTGATTGACTGATTGTTACACAATGTACCAACCCAGATAGAACGATCCTAACAGAAAAGTTATAAGCTATTAAACAATAATCATTCAAAACAAGAACAATTCCAGAAGTCATTAATTTTGACACCCTAAGAAACATAAAAAAAAATTGAAATAAGAAACTTCGTACCTCAAAATCCCTATACTGATAGTAGCAAATTCTCGAACTGCAAACAGAAAACATAAATCGAAATCTCTTTTCATCCAACTCCAGATCTCATCCTTATAAATATCAATCGGTTTTACGGATAGGAGAGATTAGGGATGGCGAGAAAGTCGAATTGGCTTTAGGGATAAGATAGAAATCAAAATCAAAATCTATCTCATAATATGTTTGAAGCGATGAAATCGATTTGGGTTGGAATCGATTTCATCAAAATCTCTGTTCATGGGTTTGAAAATCGATTAGGGATTGGGTTTAGATTAGGGATAGCGATAAAATGGGAGAATTTGTTTTAGGGACGGTGATAAGAAGGGATTGGGTTTTAGTGATATGGCTTTAATAGGTTGTACTATCAGCAATAGAGGTTGGTTTTAAGTAATTTGACATTAATTGGTAGTATTATATGCTTAAAAGGTTGTTTTTAAGAGTTTTAGTCAAATGTTTTATAAGATAGTATATATATATATATATATATATATATATTGTTGATCCTCTCTCTCAATGATTTGATGATAATCTCTTTTCATTTATACGAAGTATTTATGTTTCTGTCTTTTCAGTTCCAGCGATCTTCACTGAGCCTGTTCAGTGATCGCTGAAGAACTTGTATTGTAATTCAATCAGCGACAGCGATACTTCAAGAAGACAACACTCACACCAAAGAACCTTCAGCCAATGTCGAAGACTGAAACTGAAGATTAGAGACCGGCGAGTACGTGATCTGAAGCGGTACTCATTGATTACAAGTCTGTTTACATATGTGGGAAGACTGCTCAAGCCTCAGCGAATACTGAAGAGACCTCCAGGTTATTCCAGCTTTCAGCGATCAAAAGAAGCTGACAAATGCACGATTGTTGTTGTCTTGTCTTTATACACACAAAGAACAAACCCATACCCTTTCTAAATGTTAGTACGGTACGGAGCCGACTAGTTGACTCTATTACCCACCAACTTTAGGTAAGGATGTCTACTCATGAATAGGCTTTTTGTACTATTCACTGTAGCAAAGGACAATCATTCCTCTTAAGGCTTGACACACACTCTAACCCTACCACATAGCATTAAATGTGCATTTAATGCAATGAGTATAAATAGAAATGTTTCTTCTCCATGCAGAGTGTGCGCGCAACACACTCTCTTAACCTAATTCTTACTTTGAACATTCTTGAGTTTAAGTAAAGGAACCCTTCTCTACAACATATCTTTTCTTATTTGCTAAGACTTAGTGTGTAACCAAAGATTGTTTAGATAGGTTTTTCTTACCTTATCTTTCCGCAAACAGCCTTGTAAATTTGTATTGATCTTCTCTTATCAATATACATTTTAAATTTGAAAATATTGTGTTTGTATTCATCTTCCCCTTCTACAAACTGTTATACATTTCTTGTTGACCATTACGGGACCAACATATATATAGAGAGAGGGGGGGGGGGAGAGGGGCGGGTTAGATTACAAACCGCCTAATTCGTGAAAACTATGCAAACCATTCTCGACCAATAGAAAATTTTCGTTTTTTATTCTTTAAATTTTAATAAGTAAGGATATACTTGTTATTTTATAGTATAATGGGTAATATTGGAAATGATTTAATTATTTGTAATATGGAAACGTAAATATAGAAACCGTTTATATGAAAGGTGTAAATCAATTGTTTTTAAATATAATATTAGAAATGATTTAATTATTTTTAAATATGGAAAAGTAAATATAGAAACCGTTTATATGGAAGGTGTAAATCAATTGTTTTTAAATATAAAAGGGTGAAATAGTGAAGTAGTTGCATACAATGAAGAGGACATATTAATATAGTTTCATAATGTGAAACAGATTCATACAGTGAACCAGATTCACACATATGAATAAATATTGTGAAATAGATTCATACAATGAAATACATGTTCATCTAGTTAAGAAATACATATAATACAGTGAATCAGATTGATACAGTGATAAAATAATGTTTTTCATACAGTGAAATAGTTGCATACAATGATGACATAGAGTTTCATACAGTGAAATACAGTTTCATTTAGTGAAATAGTTGCATACAATGAAGAGGACAGTGATGAAACGCAGTTTCATATAGTGAAACAGATTCATATGGGTGATTTGCAGATTTTACCCTTTTTTAAATTAAAAATTAAACTTTTTTTTTTAATTTTCTAATATAACACTATTTAATCTTGACCACTAATCAAGAAAATGGATGGATGAGATTGGTTTGTAGGGTTTTCACAAATGAGGGTGGTTTGCAATTGATCGCTCCCCGCTCTCTCTCTCTGTACACATATATATATATATATATATAATATATATATATATATAATATATATATATATATATATAGCTATAGAATACATAGGCATAGAAGTCTATTTTGAAGAGTATGTTGGGGTGTTATTCCCTAGTTGTAACTTGAAATAAGCATTGGGTCTTAATAAGCAACAAGATGTGGACCTTTGAAGTCATATAATGTAATTTCTAAGTGAATAAACTTAACTATATAATTATGGAGTTCTCAAGGTAAAGACCTATACTGTTGATGTTGGGAACCCCACATGTAAGAAACTTGATTTAGTTGACCTTGTTAATTCATTAAACTATAAGACCCGTAGAGGGTTGATCTTAATGATTGGTCATTTGTTACTGATGCTTATATAATATTGAACTGTGGCCTACTCTTGTGTTCCATCACGATTAATGCAAATTGTATCTCCCTCTTCATCTCCGGATGGTTTATGCCCTTCTAGGGGTAAGCATGAGAAAAAAATGTACAATCGATTTGATAAGGTTATGTTTTTTGTTTTAAAATTTTATAGCTTTATTCAATAACTGTTTGTTCTCACTAGAAATTAAGCCTAACATTTTTTCTCAAATGAGGTGTATATCAGGTTCTCTTACCGGTGGGGCTCCGGAGGGTTGAGTGGAGCATTCGTGCCGGTGGAGGCACTTTTGGGAATTACATCTTTGAGCGTATTCGTGGAGTTACTAGATATTTTTCTTTTAAGGATTTTACATCTAATCTATACTTCAAATTAGTAGATTATTAGGTTGTTGACTAGCATCCTTTATTCAGATGTAACCATTATTGGGTGATTTTATATTTACTAAGCTCTTTTCCCGTAAGTATTCGGTTTAAATTATCTCTTATTTTAGGGGTGTTACAATTATATTTAGGATCTTGCCAATTGTAATGAGGGTTTGGAAGAATCACGGGTTTTTGGTTGTCATATTGATCTTTCATTCAAATTGTTCGAAAAAACAAGTGGATATTGTAGAGTAAGATTATGGGGAGTCTTTCATGAAGGTGAAGGAGAAACATCACGGTTTTGGCTTTGTCGTGGTCATATGTTATTAAGTACTAGTTGCAAGAGCATTCGTATCAATATGAGTTTCAACCCAAAAGTAGTTTTTCCCGACCACGTTTTTTGATAATATACTATCAATTGAATTTTTATATATATCTTTTATCAAATCACAAAAAATCACTATCTAATGCACATGTGGATAATCAAAAACTAGAAAACTGATTGTATCTGAATTACGTCTTAGAAAACATCATATCATTTCAACCACTTTTAATCATATTTTATGCAATGGATATAGACCATTTTTTTTATTGCACTATAAAACCTTAATTTAAGCCATTTTTTTAGGAAAATACATTATCTTACTACATCGAGTTTTATAAATTGAATTTTTAACAAAAATATCAATTTTTTAGGTATCCGGTTCGACTTGTACGTATCTTAAATAATCCTAGAAAACATCCACGAAAATCCCCAATAAATTGGAAAATAAAAATGATGGTTGAAAAAATGTGCAACAGTTGAGGTTGAATTAATAAATAAATCATCAGCAATAATTACTATAATAAGTCAGTTTCGTATCCTGAAATTTGTTGGGTTAAAAAGAAACGCTCACGTTTGCTTAAAAGCTATAATTTTCCTACCAAACAAAATGTGGCCATCAAGTAAAGACGTCATAAACTTATCCAAACGATCAACTTGATATTTTGAACACATGTCTGACGTTCGATGGTAGGAAAGTTTTACTTTAATCATATGTGAATGGAAATAACACATGTAAGGAGACTTGAAAGGCACCTTCCATCAAATCTTAAAGCAACCGCTCACCACATCCACTAATATATCTTACCATTTTTACGAACTCCAAATAACCAAAAAGACACCTCATTTATAGCTATCATTAGTGTTATATTTGGGTTTGTGCATAAGTGTCGAGAAAGGGTATAATCGCAACGATGGGAGTGAAAATACATTTCCGAAAGCATCATGTACGTATTCCTTCATTGATTTATTTGATTGTATCTGAAGTTGAAGGCTTAATTAAACGTTTTATAATGTAGGTGGTTTTGGATAACGACATTGTTCAACTGAAGTTAACAAATCCGGGAGGATTTGTAACTGGCGTAAAGTACAACAACATCGATAATTTGCTTGAAGACCATAACGATGAATCAGATAGAGGGTAAATTGGCGTTGGTCGTTATTTACGATTCATTTCACTATAACAACTCATGATAATGCGAAACTGACTTGTGGTAGCCATAGTTATGTTCATTTTTTAGAAGTGTCGTATGAGCATATTTTTTACAAGACAACATTTTTATACGATACTTTTTTTTTTAAGTAACGTCATATAAAAAACTATTATGACGATTTTATTTCAAAAGTATCATAATAAAACTTGTTAGGACATCCAAAACTATTTTACTACCTTATTATAATATATTTACAATTGACATATAATTGTTTCATCATCATATAAACTTAAGTTTTATAAAGAAGTCTATTAAGACATTTAGACAACATTTGGCTTTGCATAAAGCCGATATTGTTGTAGCGTGTCGCAAAGCATCAGGATCAACGACAATCAGAACCGTCACAAATACACCTGTATCATCTTCGCCTTAGCATTGTACTTAAAGTAAGTACATCATATGTTTACAACCTTCTAAACCTGTGTAGGTATTGGGACCTCGTTTGGAGTTCGGCCGGAAATCTGGGAACGACCGGTACCTTTGAAAGGTGACTCTTTCTCTCTAGCAAGGCTTTCGAGTAACATTCTCCATGCTAACTCAAAAAGGTCATAACTTTTGCTATAAAACAGGATCGAAGGGACAAGTTGTGAGGTTATAGTGGAAACGGATGATCAAGTAGAAGTCTCGTTTTCAAGAACATGGGATTCGTCTCTTGAAGGAAAGCACGTCCCATTGAAGATCGACAAAAGGTGATCATACCCGTTAGCTTCTTATCGGTTTTAAGAAAATAATGATGATGATAATGACGATAGAAACTTGATAGGTTTGTGTTACTTCGTGGTTCTTCGGGTTTCTACTGCTACGCGATTTACGAACATCTGGAAGGATGGCCTGGTTTCAATCTTGATGAAACCAGGATAGTGTTCAGACTCAGAAAGGACAAGTAAGCATCTTTCTGATCCCTACTTGGTTTCATCTGATTACCGTCCATTCACTTCAGATTTGGACGGACGGGGCAGATAAATATGAAAGGATAACAAAATCCATGATTTGCATATAGGTTTCACTATATGGCGATGTCCGATGACCGACAAAGGTATATGCCTTTGCCTGATGATCGGTTGAATGATAGAGGTAAACCTTTGGCTTATCCTGAGGCAGTACTTCTCGTTAATCCGGTGGAACCCGAATTCAAAGGAGAGGTAATAAAACGTTTTTCCATCAACGTTACTTTCACATAAAAATAGTTCGCTTCGTGGTTGTTTTTATTCCTATGATTTATAGTTTTTCGGTTTTTATGATACAGGTAGACGATAAATATCAATATTCGTGTGAAACAAAGGATCTAAAGGTCCATGGATGGATATCCACGGATCCGGCTATCGGATTTTGGCAAATTACATCAAGTAATGAGTTCCGAACAGGCGGACCTAGGAAGCAAGAGCTTACTTCTCATGTTGGCCCGATAAATCTAGCTGTAAGAGCAACTACATTTTTCGCATCAACTACTTAATTTCTTTTGCGTTTCGAACCTTATTCTTTCGCGAAATGCAGATGTTTGTTAGTGCTCATTATGCCGGAAACGATTTAGTTATCAAATTTGGCGAAGGTGAGCAATGGAAGAAAGTTTTTGGTCCGGTTTTTATGTATCTCAATTCGACGACCTCCATGGGAGAAGACCCTCTTACGCTCTGGAATGATGCCAAGAATCAGGTATTTGCAAACTCAGTCGTTCTGTCCAAGAATCATTAGGTATTTGGTTCGTGGACAGAAAACAACCACATTCTTTAGGTATAGTAAACCAGTGTTGCTAATTTACGATCATTTTCAGATGCTGGATGAAGTTGGAAAATGGCCCTACGATTTTCCAGCTTCGAAAGATTTCCAGCAAGCTCACGAACGCGGCACGCTAAGCGGTAGATTGTTTGTACACGACAAGTATAATCTCTAATCTTTTTTTTTCACCATTTCAACAAAAAGAATCAAACACAAATTGAGTGTGTAAACTTTGATAATGCACGTATTCAGGTTCATTAGCGACGAAAACACACCTGCCATTGGTGCGTATATCGGACTAGCTCCACCAGGAGACCCCGGATCATGGCAACGGGAAAACAAGGTGAGTTCAAATGCGAGAATGATCGAAATCTATGCCAAGTTGCAATCTCTTTTATTCGAAATCAGTAATCAGAAACACTTTATATATCTTGTGCATATAGAGCTACCAGTTTTGGAGTAAAGCAAACGATGAAGGCCATTTTTCGATTCAAAACATTTTGGCTGGCTCATATAATCTATACGCTTGGGTTCCTGGATTCATTGGCGACTACAAAAACCCTACCACCATTACCATCACACCAGGTGCTTATCTAATTAATCTCCATATCTCGAAACCAACATGATGTATCTGTGTTATGTCTAAATGTTATAATAGATTGTTTTATAAAACTTATAATAATAGAATCGGAACCACACATTTGCCTCCTATGGAAAAATGTTTATAATAAGTTGATATGACGTTTTTCAGACTTTCTAACAATTGTTTTGTAACACTTTTGTTCTCTTAGTTTTTTATGACATTATTTGAAACATATTTTATAAAAACGAGGGCTCATGTAGAGGACACTTTTCAAAATTCATATGGCATCTCTCAGAAGTTCCCTACAAAAATTTGTAAAGATGCCCAAATCTATATGTTCTAATATCTTCATTATCGTAATACATATGATGCATAATTATTCTAGTCTTATAAAACAATCTATTAAGACATATTTTAGGCATATTTGACATCTTATATATAAAGACGTTTAAAATTTGTTGTAGCGATGTTTGAACAAAACTCGATATATTTTAAGCAGGCTGTGAGATCGAAATTGGTGATATTGTTTACGATCCCCCAAGAGACGGCCCAACGTTATGGGAGATCGGAATACCCGATAGATCTGCTGCAGAATTCCACATTCCTGATGCTGACCCAATCTATACAAACCAGTTTCTTGTCGACGATCCTAACAGGTGTCACCAAGATTAATTGCAATTTGAAAATGAAATTGAACAACAAAAGAGACTTGAAATATCATCATTTGTGCAGGTTTAGACAGTATGGATTATGGGAGAGATACACAACGCTGTATCCTGATAGTGATTTGGTTTTCACCATCGGTGAAAGTGATTACAAGAAAGATTGGTTCTTTGCACATGTGAACAGGTTTCTATTTTAATTAGTTTCTTTCAAAACAATGTCAACTTTTCTATTCTACATTCAATTTGCAAGACAGAGAAACTCGTTATTCCCTTTATTATTATATATAAGGATAAAATAGTTATTTGATTAATTAAAAAGTGTAAAAATTACGTATCTCGTGTGTCTTTTTTCATTATAGACGTTAATATATTGTGGAACGGGGAGTAATGGCATTAAAATTTGTGTTTACCTTCGTTTCACAGGAAGAAAGATAATGGTGACTATGAAAAAACGACATGGACGATCAAATTCAAGCTTAACGACGTTAGCAAGAATGGAACTTATAAACTGAGATTGGCTCTAGCATCCGCACAAGTATCTGATCTACAGGTATTCTAATTCTTACATATGATTTTCAACAACATATTGACAATTTATAAATATTTATATAAATTCCTTTAATACCCATCTCACGTACGTTATCAATAGGAGCTTAATAACATCTACTAAATTTCAAAGCTAGCTAGATACAGACTATCAAACATGCATATATATATATATATATATATATATATGTAGGACGAAAATCCCAAATAACATTTTTAGAAGGGTTCTTCTTGAAAAAGATCCAAAGGGGCTTCATATATGCTCAATGGAATCAAAGTTGGGATATAACACCACATACGGACTCCACACAATACTCTTTTGCCTCTAGGGCATGTATAGTAGAAGTCTCATATTGGCTAGACAGGAACCATCAAACTTGTATGGTTTGATACAAATATAGGAAATTACCATCTATATTCTCATTTTCATTCCCTTACAATAAACCTAGCGTCCCCTAATTTTTTATGCAAAATAGTTTTGTATCTTGAACAGTAATATTAGTATCAAGATGTTAACTAAGTTTTGATTTTTAGGTTCGAGTTAACGATCCAAACAAGGAATTGCCATTGTTTTCAACTGGAATAATTGGAGGAGATAATGCAATTGCAAGGCACGGGATACACGGGCTGTATTGGTTATTCAACATAGACATACCGGGAACGAATCTGAACTCTAATGGTGAGAACGCCATTTATTTAACACAAGAGATCATAGGAACCCCATTTCGTGGAGTGATGTATGATTACATTCGTTTAGAAGGACCGCCTCCTTCGCAATCCATTAGTCATGTATGTATTTAATTAACGTTTATGTTTTAAATAACGTGAATTATTTGTGTTTCATTTTATTTTCTCAATTCAAACCAACGATTTAAAACTTCTATTTAAAAGTTATTGAATAATAATCAAGTGTAGTATACAAAATCCATTGGATTCTTTTTCTATCTCTCTCACGACAAATCACAAACATGCAACATAGATGATACAATTGTAGTTGTATGGCGTGGTTTGTATCTGATCGTTATGTTTAACAAAAAGAACATGCATTGGATTTATTTTAAACGATTAATAATGCTAAATATTGGATAAATTAGAAAATACTAAATACATATAGGAGTTCACTCTTTTTCGGGATTCTTCTCATTCTTCTTTGGCACCTAGTGTAGAGATCGGACGTATTTGGCCCCCAAAGGGGATTACACTTTTAGATCCACGGGGAAATCCATTTTGGATAAATTAGTAAATACTACATACACATAGGAGTTCGTAGATGATTAATTCGAGAGTTGGTTTTTAAAGACCACACTTATCAGTTGCCATCAATGCAATTTTTGTAACTCGTCAGACATTTTTGAAACCTATGAAACCGAAATCTTCAACTTTGCCTCGATTAGAAGTCGTTAATCGGAAACGATGGTTTGCATGCTTTTAGGGATAGAAATTTGAGTTTCTAATAATTGTTGTAGACTTTTCTTTACTCCCAATAACATCTTACATTACAACAAAATTTAGTGTTTGAGATGTTTCTATAAAATGTTTTATTTAAAAAGTGTCACATAAAAATCAAATATTATTATAAACATTTTTTAAAGTGCTCCATATAAAAAGGCAACTAGCTATCTACTAGTGCAATATAGCGAGATGTAATTTTTTTTATTGTGAGGATGAAAATTTCATGTAATTTTTACTTAAAAAGAATATTGGAAATATATGAAGTATTTTGCAATATTGCCCGACATTTATCATGTGATTGAATGCGTTTATCATTTGTCTAATATATTGAGATTAAGTGCGTTTTCACCTTCTTCATTACTGGAGTTAAGATAGAGAAATCCGTCAAGTTATGTTCTTCAGCCCAGGTTTTTCTAAGGTTTGACTTTTAATGAAAAGATTTGGAGAATTTAGAGGATTGATATAATGGAGGATAGAAAGTCATTATCCTGGGAATTAGAAGTAATTGCAGGTCTTGTTTATAACATTAATAAAATTGCTTTGATAACACTTATTGGTCCCTGGTAGGTTAATGACTTATGTTGATCCTCTCTCTCAGTGATTTGATGATAATCCCTTTTTCCTTTCGATGTATTTCTGTATCTGTAATTTCAGTTCCAGCGATCATACACTGAGCTTGGTCAGTGATCGCTGAAGAACTTGTTTTGTAATTCATTCAGAGACAACGATACTTCAAGAAAACAACACTCACACCAAAGATCCTT